CAACTTGGTACTAGATGGTGCTGTGTTAATTGTCCAGGGTTATTTATTATATTTTCAAATATAGTATTTGTTTTCTAATAAAACAGTATTTATATCAGTTGTCTAGTACCCATAACACAAGCTCTGCTCAACTTGGTACTAGATGGCGCTGTGTTAATTGTCCAGGGTTATTTATTATATTTTCAAATATAGTATTTGTTTTCTAATAAAACAGTATTTATATCAGTTGTCTAGTACCCATAACACAAGCTCTGCTCAACTTGGTACTAGATGGCGCTGTGTTAATTGTCCAGGGTTATTTATTATATTTTCAAATATAGTATTTGTTTTCTAATAAAACAGTATTTATATCAGTTGTCTAGTACCCATAACACAAGCTCTGCTCAACTTGGTACTAGATGGCGCTGTGTTAATTGTCCAGGGTTATTTATTATATTTTCAAATATAGTATTTGTTTTCTAATAAAACAGTATTTATATCAGTTGTCTAGTACCCATAACACAAGCTCTGCTCAACTTGGTACTAGATGGCGCTGTGTTAATTGTCCAGGGTTATTTATTATATTTTCAAATATAGTATTTGTTTTCTAATAAAACAGTATTTATATCAGTTGTCTAGTACCCATAACACAAGCTCTGCTCAACTTGGTACTAGATGGCGCTGTGTTAATTGTCCAGGGTTATTTATTATATTTTCAAATATAGTATTTGTTTTCTAATAAAACAGTATTTATATCAGTTGTCTAGTACCCATAACACAAGCTCTGCTCAACTTGGTACTAGATGGCGCTGTGTTAATTGTCCAGGGTTATTTATTATATTTTCAAATATAGTATTTGTTTTCTAATAAAACAGTATTTATATCAGTTGTCTAGTACCCATAACACAAGCTCTGCTCAACTTGGTACTAGATGGCGCTGTGTTAATTGTCCAGGGTTATTTATTATATTTTCAAATATAGTATTTGTTTTCTAATAAAACAGTATTTATATCAGTTGTCTAGTACCCATAACACAAGCTCTGCTCAACTTGGTACTAGATGGCGCTGTGTGAAATGTCCAATGTCGTTATTACTATAATATTCCCCAATACGATTGGTCACATTGGTACTACACAGTCATCAACTTCGGGGGGAAAGAGGATTGTTAGAAATGTGGATTGATGATCTTTTTGATAGCAATGTACCATGTCAGGTTGACCTCCACGCGGTACCCACTGGAAACCATCGTGATAAATTGTCTGTGAATTTGTCACGATGGGCTAACTGACCTGACATCGTGCTCATCTTATCATCCTCCACTGTTGCCCCGCCAGCGTAAACCGTTAGCGCAGGCGGGTGCACCATTCCATTATCATCCATAAAAAAATTCAAAATTCAAAAATAATTTATTCATGTAGGACATTTTAGCTGCTTATGAACGTCAAGTTTTTACATTATAATTGTTTTTCCCCTACCATCCAGTTCAGTATATAGATCAAATTGAGAAGAACTGATAAGAAACTCAATTGAATTACTTTATTTTTAAAAGCCAGTTTATTTACAATGTATATTTATATAGGTGTCTATGTCTAACATTAAATGAAAATCCCGTGCATGAACAACTATTGCCATGCACGCTCGTCATTTAAGTAATCGTTTAGTGAGTAGTAAATCAGTAAATATGATTTAACAGATGTTTTGAATATATTTACGTGTAATTCCAGTATATCCTTTTGGTATCTTATTGTAAATTTTTATACCTATTCCCATAAAAGACCTATTGACTTTTTCTAAACGATACGATACTTGGGGACAGCAAAAAAAACATCACTCATACATTATCTCATCACTATATTACGCGTGTTTGTCTGTACTGACGTTCGTATACATGCGTAGTAATAATCTATAATATGATTAATTAGTAAAACACGGAATAATCTAAGATTAGAACTAATCACAACCTACAGTTGTAGTTATATCGTATAGTGGATTATAATATTGAACAGAGGTGTTTAAGGCATGGCCCGCTGTATATATGCGGACCGCGGTTTTTTTTATGGGGCCCGCATAGACTTTTTACAACATTATTAATTTTGAACTTATGTTTAGTTTTTAAAGTAATAGCTTAATTTTTTTTGTATTAACTATTATTTGTAGGACTAGTGATGGTTATTTAGTTAATTGCAATGGGAAACCAGCGCCATCTAGCTCCAAGCTAAGCATAGCTTGTGTTATGGGTACTAGACAATTGATAAAAATACTTAAATATATTTTATTATAAATACATACATAATATCAATAGGAAACACCTAGACTGATCCAACAATCATACTCATGAATACAAATGTTTGTGCCGTGCGAGGAATCGAACCCGCGACCATCGGAAGTAAGACGGTGTGCCAAACCCCTAGACCATCGAGACCTAATATTTTTTCTTGCGCCCCTCAATTATTTTATTTCTTTATTCATTCTATATTAGACAAATTATTAAATACAAGAATTAATAATAATAATATTTATTCATGATACACATTTACATTTTAATTTACTGTAGTTCTACACTAGGCTCGCAGGCCTGTATTGTAGAGACTGGAGTGACTTATTATTGTGTACATTTTACAGTTTACCCTTTGTATTAATAGCTATTGGAAAAATGGAACTTGTGTGTAAAATGTAGGGAATAAATTTGTGTAAAATTTGTGGATGTATATATATGTGTATGTGTTCATTTTGCAGAACTGTGTGTTAGCCGTAAGGTGGAAGTATTTGTTCTGTTTCGTCATAATTTAATTTCATCAGCCAGCATTTTACTTACTAATATTACAAATGCGAAAGTAACTCTGTCTGTCTGTCTGTCTGTCTGTCTGTCTGTCTGTCTCGCTTTCACGCCAAAACTACTGAACTGATTTAAATGAAATTTGGTACCCATATAGTCTAGACGCCGAGGAAGGACATAGGCTACTTTTTAATGCGAAAAAAGGGTTGTAAGGGTTTGAAAATGGTAATGCAAGGTTATCTTTATGCGGTTGAATACACACTTATTATAATAATGGCTTAACTAAAAAATTAGATATTTTGGAAAGTCTACTTTATAATTGTGTCATTAAGTCTATTTTCAAAAATTTTTAATTTCTGAATTACACCACTATTGTACTAGATATGCGACTTATTAACGCTCATATGTCATAAATAAACATATATGTCATTTGTATAAGCAGCGCGCGCAACTGATTATTGTCAATCCGTTGTCTCCTTATGAATTTAAATGAATAAACGTTTGCTCTGCAATTTTATTTTATAAATACATAAATATAATCCTGGTATAGCCTATAACTGATGACCCTGCTCTTGGACAAGAGCGTAAGAACATATTATTAATATTTTTGAAGAATAAAACAACATATAATATTAAAAATGTTGTCAATACATATGAACAACATTTCCTTGGAAGAAACAACATCTACCGTTCCATCCGAGCTATTCAGGTTCGGAATACGCGTTTCTCCATTCAGGCCAGTAGAGTCAGAGATATGGTTCGCGCAAGTAGAGGGATAGTTTGCAATTTAGAATATCACATCTATTATTTTGATTTAACAAAATTTTATTATGTTATTGGCCAACTGGACCACCAATTTTCAAAAGAATTTAAAGAAATGTTTAAACTGTTTATTAAATATAAATAAATATGACATTTAAATTTGTAAATATCACATTGTCACCATTCAAGGGGTAAAATAAAATAGCAGATAAAAGTTTTTATGGAAATTCGTCATATTTGAAGCTACAACGATGAAGCTTTTTTCTTACGCTTTTTTGGGTCAGTTTATTTAATAAATACCTTACTAATATTATGAAAGTGAAAGTGACTCTGTCTGTCTGTCTTAAAAGCCAAAACTTCTGAACTGATTTAAATGAAATTTAAAGTCTAGATCTTGAGATAGGACATAGGTTACTTTTTAATGCTAAAAAGGGTTATAAGAGACTGAAAGAGGATTTTTTTTAAAGTTTAAGCTTCAATCTTATTTTTTTGCGTATTGATTAAATATAATTAACGAAAATGGGTTGTAAGGGTCAAAAGGGGAGTTAAAATGTTGTATGCATGTATTGTCATTTTTTAAAGCTAGAAACTTGAAACCCATTTTTTAGGCTGTTGAGAAAATATCAGTACCTACCGCCACAGGACTCAGCCATAAATGGTTACAGTATAGCGACATCTTATCATTGGTACATGATGACACTAATATAAGTAGCATTAAAAAAAACAAGAAAAAGGGTTATAAGGGGTTGAAAGGGGTGATGTAATGTATGTATGGTATGTATGGAAGTATGTTCATTTTAAAGATAGTAGTTTGAAACTTAGTTTTTGGCTGTTGATTGAATTGTATGGAATTATGTATGGAAATTTCATTTTTGAAGCTAGAACGATGAAACTTTTTTATTGGGTTAGATTATTAATATATATTTTTTATTATTTGCTCAAGGTCACTATTTTACGCGGACGAAGTCGCGGGTACAGCTAGTAGTTATATATGTACGGATAGGAAAACAGTGGCAGACGCTTAGCAAATGTAGTGCGAATAGAGGGTAGTGGAATTCTGAAAGTACCAATTTGTAACATGGCTTCGTATTCGATCATGGTGCAATTCAACTTAACATAAGGTTTGATGTACAAAGGACGGTTTTATTGTTCAAGAAACATGTTTAAGACAACCTTCGGGTAGGTTATAATTTAAAATATGTTATGTAAACAATGGCTGATAATGATAAATGTCAAGTAAGTCTGAGCGGTAGAATCAAAAAATTTGACTATTCAAAAGTGCTGATATTAAGTTTATTTGAATAAAGATTATTTATTTCTGATGCAGGCGAAGTTGCAAGGGTTAGCTACGTATATAAATACACAAAACAAGATACTGTTTTTGGGTGGTTACGAACCGCGATCGTGTCTAGTTTGGACAGCCCTGGCGTATGTACTAAACGTAATACTCGGAGTAAAGGTAGGTAGATAATATGATACTTACAGCGGCGTGGTCCGATTTCGATCTGGACCCGAAGTACTGTTTCCTCTTTCTGTATTCTTGTTTTTCCTTAAGCAAGTTAGCCTTTTCTGGGTCTCTGTAAAATGTTAAAATTCTCATCATTATTCAGTCCGGAAATCGTCTACTGCTGAACGAAGGCCTCCCCAAAGATCTCCACGACGATCGGTCAAAATTGTAGCAAAATATCTTTATTCATGTAGGTCTATTACAGGTTCTTATGATATGTCACATCTACCGTCAGATCGGAGTGCTCTCGAGATAAGAAACTAAGATATATTTTTTCAAATGATTTTTAAATTTCAGAAATAGAAATAGAAATAATCTTTATTCAAATAAACTTAATATAAGCACTTTTGAATAGTCAAGTTTTTTTATTCTACCGCTCATTCGGACTGCAGACTCATCACAAGAATGAGCAAGAAACTTGTGTGTTGGTTGCTCTTTTGAAATAAATATTGATTTACTTATATTTAATTAATAACAAGGATTAGGCATGCGATAATCAACATAGAAACCGTTCATTTTAGGGATAATAGTCTATATTGTCATTTGTACACTTTTATATATTATATAAAGGAGATATGTATCATTAATATACATAGAAAACACCCAGACTGATACAAAAAATCATACTAATGAATACAAATGTATACACCGTGCGATGAATCGAACCCGCCATCGACGGAAATAAAGCGGCGTGTTAAATTGCTAGACCACGGAGACTATATAATTTCAGAGCTGTGCTTTTTTCTCTATTTAAATTTTTTTAACAGAAGTTTTAAGCTTCTAGTTTTAAAAATGACGATTTTTCATCCCCCCTTACAACCCTTATTTCGCATTAAAAAGTAGCCTATGTCCTTTCTCAGGGTTTAGACTATCTGTGTACTAAATTTCATTTAAATTGGTTCAGCACTTTTGACGTAAAAGCGCGACAGATAAATAGACAGACAGACAGAGTTACTTTCACGTTCATAATATTATTATTAATAAGGATTACTGTTTTTAATTGCAAACAATATGTCTAATAGTATCACGATGTCAAATAGGTATATTCTTGTTCGATATGCTCAGTTTTTAAACATTGAAAAATGGCTTCATAATGATGGCGACTCACAGAATTATTTCACCACCTGGTGCATGTCCCGGGACTCGTCCTCATTTATACACACTAACACTGTCTGATGTTATTAAATAGTTTACACAGTGAAGTTTTGTTCACTTTAATTTGCTATTTGAATTAATAATTGAGACAAAGCACTCGCAGCCGAGTTCTCGATCTTGATGTTCAAGCGACAGTGGCGCTCAGTGCGCATGCGGCCGCATGCGTAAACTCTCGAACCAACGTTTGTTCGAGTACAGGTGGGCGGGAGTTTTTAAAATCAAGCCATTATTAAAAAACCCAACAATTCTAAACAAAGTCGCATGTAACAACTAGTTGCTTAAATAAATAGAAGTTGTATAAATTATTGAAATTTTTTTTCTAATAAATAGAGGCCAAAACTTAATTTTAAATTTAAATTATTTCAAATTATATTGTTTCCACTTTCCATCGTGTGGGCCGTTTTAAAACATACCTTTCTCGCTGTATCATTTCCTTAAAAATCTTTAAAACAGGCGATTGTGTTTCCTTGTCCGATTTTTTTCCATGACTGAAAGAATTTTTTTTTAATTAACAACAACTCTTTAGATATAAGAGATTTTCCCACGAGACTACAGCATGGGGTTTTGCGGACAGTGCGGTTTCTGAGTTGCTTTCTCCCACATACACTTACATTGTGGAATGAACTACCTGCCGAGGTTTTCTCGAGAGACTACAGCATGGGGTTTTTCAAGAAGGGTATATTAAGGTTTCTTAAGGGTCGGCAACGCGCACGTGACACCCCTGGTGTTTCAGGCGTCCATAGGCTACGGTAACCATTTACCATCAGATGGGCCGTGGTTGTTTGCTACCAAAGTAGTATAAAAAAAAAGAGATTTGTAGGTTTGGGTAAATGCTTGGGACATCTCAAATTAATAACCAAACGAGAAGCACTGAATCAATAGCAAGAAATGCCAGAATTGACACATTCAAAAGACCTAATATCGGGCTACTCGAACAAATACTCCAATAGACTACTGCTATTGAGTAAAAACAACATATGCATGATGACTAGGGCCCTCACAGGACACTGCAAATTGAACAAGCATATGGCTAAACTAGGCCTATGCACGACAAGAATCTGCAGATTCTGCCAAACTGAAGAGGAAACGCCGCTTCACATCCTATGTGGTTGTAGCCCACTCATGCATAAACGAAATATCTCCTTTGGAAAGTTTACACTCATTCCCGAGGAGATAAAAACGATCGCTCCTAAGAATATCCTTCAATTCTTGTCCCTGACGGGTAGCGAACTTTGAAAAGGGCGAGCACAATAGATCTATGTAGGTCGCAGTGCTACAGGTGCTACACATCTGACAATAGCACAAACAACCCAATAAAAAAAAAAATTGGGTAAATGCTAATGGTAACTGAATCATTACATAATATAAAACAAAGAAGCTGTCGCTGTCTGTCCGTCCCTATCTATGCTTAAATCTTTAAAACTACGCCACGGATTTTGAAGCAATTTTTTTAGAAGACAGAGTGATTCAAGAGGAAGGTTTATATATATAATACATGTACACCCGGGCGACGCCGGGGCGGGTAATTAGTTAAAGAAAATAATATAAATACATTAACTTTATAACAAGACGATATATATAGACGACGACCTCGGTGGTCTAGCGGTCTAGCACACCGCTTTGTCCGATGGTCGCGGGTTCGATTCCTCGCACGGCTCAAACATTTGTATTCATGAGTATGATTGTATCGGTCTGGGTATTTTCTATATTTAATATGTATGTATGTACAAAAAAAAATATCTATGTATATGTATCAGTTATCTAGTACCCATAACACAAGCTTTAGCTAGCTTAACTGGGGTCTAGATGGCGCTGTGTGAATTGTCCTGAGATTATTATTATTATTATTATGTACGAGGGTATAATAAGAATCATATTCTTACCTTTTATTACTCTTTCCCATAATTGATCTGACATTTCTGCTTTATTTTTACTAATGTCATATTTCAAATAAAGTGATCATACTTGCAAAGAGGATTAAAACAAGCACTCTGTTTCATAAATTATGTACTGGTTGAACAGCCTCATCTTCTAAAGCCGTTAAATCTATACATATAAATAAAATTGGAGTGTCTGTTTGTAATATTGAAATAACCGTCACTTACTATGTGCATATGAATATAAATACGGTACATACATCAAAATAATTTTTTTTACACGTTTTATCTGTCTGTTTGTTTGTTCCGGCTAATCTCTGAAATGGCTGGATCGATTTTGACGGGACGGCTGATGTAATAAGGAGTATCTTAGGCTACTTATATTTTAGGAAAAGTAAAGTTAGATTCCACGCGGACGAAATCGCAGGTGCAGCTAGTTATAGAATAAGAAACAAGATATTTTAGACCTCTGGAATAGTTATGCGTCTTTTGTAAGGGTTAATAATGTACCATTACATTATTAACCCTTACAAAAGACGCATAACTGGTTATACGCACTGGTTATACGCTGGCGGGGTACCAGTAGAGGATGATAAACTGAGTATGAGGTTAAGTCAGGTAGCCAATCATAGCAAATTCACCAGGAATTTAACATGATGGTTTCCAGGGGTTCCTCTAAAGCCGTAAAATTACAGAATAAGGAACAAGACATTTTAGACCTCTGGAATAGCAATGTATCTTATTTAATGCCCAATTTACACTCGACCCGAGTGGGCAGGGAAGTGAGCACGGAAGTGCCAGCGTGAGTGTAAACACGAGTGGAAGCACTTCCCATGTCATTGGCGCTGCCACTCGCGCTGCTCGGCGCTCCCTCGATTGTCGGTTTTTCGTGCGCGAGTCAAAGGACTGGCAGCGCGAGTGGCAGCGTGTTTTTACATTCAGCTCTCTCCCTCAGTTGTCGCCCGGCAAAATATCCGGCAGCGCGAGTGGCAGGGGAAGCGGCTGAATGTAAACGTAGCATAAGGGTTAATAATGTAATGGTGCACTCGGTATAAGCTGGTGGGGCACCGGTGGAGGACGATGAGATGAGTATTCGGTCAGGTGAGTCAGCACATCGTAGTAAATTCACCAGGATTTTAACACGATGCTAAATGGTGATGTATTTGGTTCCATCAAGTAGGCTCAGCGAACTGTACAGCAGGTCTTCACTATCTTGACACGAAAATGTTTTATCAAACATATATATCATTGTAATATTTAATTAATTATTACCTACTTACAATACTTACATGCAATACTTAATTATAACAAATGTAATACGTAAATATGGCAGGATGAGGATAAGGTAAACAGATAGGCATGTTACATCTATACACCTCTGTGCACCTGACTTTCACTGTTGATTTGTATTAATTGTATATGTATTTGTATGTATGTAGTTATATTTACATTTATCCTTACTTCCTTACTAATATTATAAATGCGAAAGTAACTCTGTCTGTCTGTCTGTCTGTATGTCTGTCTCGCTTTCACGCCAAAACTACTGAACCGATTTAAATGAAATTTGGTACACAGATAGTCTAGACCCTGAGAAAGGACATAGGCTACTTTAAAATGCGATAAAAGGGTTGTAGGGGTTGAAAGGGTACTGATGGGTAGGGAATGCGAGGTTGTACGTAAGAATCGTCATTTTTAAAGCTATAAGCTTGAAACTTATATTTTAGGTTGGTGATTAAATAGGAATAAATATGACATTCAAATTTTTTAGTTTGGCTTTTATTGAGTTAGGTAATTAAATATTTTTTTCATTATTTGGTCAAGGCCACTATTTTACGCGAACGAAGTCGTAATTACCGAGAATTAGTTACAAGTGAGTAACTACTAGTATATGCATTTTTGACAAAACATACATATTATGTATTGACAAATATATATATATATATATATATATAAAAAGAAATTCTCGGTGAATTCACCACGATACGCTGATTGACCATTTCATGCTCAACCTATCCTCCACTGGTGCTTTACCAGCGTATACCGTTAGTTCAGACGGCTGCACCA